TCTATGTCTCTAGATTCTCTTTAAAATTCCATGTTTATTTTTTGCTGTGAGCTTATTACTGCAGCAGTCTGTTTGATTTTCCCGCATACTGTGCGCAGGTCGCAAATGGAGCATAGAGTGAACTACTGTATGACTGCATTACGATTTTTATAAGACTTAACATATGCTTTTGTTCATAGCGTTACTATCATGAAATAACTCCAAGAAGTAGTAATTGGTATGGTCTTGTTTCTATACCTTCGTGTGTGTTGTTAAGATCATAAGAACATAAGAAAATAAGGAGTCTGCAATAGGCCGGTTGGCCTGTGCATGGCAGCTCCTGTCGAGAGTTACTACCACTCTCTATCATCCATGAGTCTATCTAGCCTCCTTTTGAAACTTCCAGAGTTCCCGCACTTACTACAAAGTTGCTAAGCTTGTTCCACTCGTCCACCACCCTATTTGTGAACCAATTCCTTCCTATCTCCCTCCTAAACCTAAACTTATCCAACTTGAATCCGTTGCTCCTAGTCCTATCCTGCTCGGATATTATAAGAACTTTATCTATATCCCCTTTATTGATTCCTTTCACCCACTTAAATACTTCTATCATATCTCCCCGCACTCTTCGTCTTTCTAGGGAATGCAAGTTAAGTTTCTTTAGCCTATCCTGATATGGAAGGTTTCTAAGTCCCGGAATCATTTTTGTCATTCTTCGCTGCACCGACTCTAGTGAATTTATATCCATTCTATAATAGGGGCACCAGAACTGAACCGCATAATCGAGGTGTGCCTGACTAGCGCAAGATATAGTTGCAATAAGACCTCTGCACTCTTGTTACTTACACTTCTAGATATAAAACCCAATACTCTGTTTGCCTTATTTTGAACATTAACGCACTGTTTTCTAGGCCGTAGGTCCGGGCTTACAAGTGCCCCTAGGTCTCTTTCACAAGTCGACTTCTCTAGGTTGATGTTGTTAAGGCTGTATACATTATAAGTATTTGTTCTTCCAATATTAAGTATGCTAATAGAGATTTTCTTGATTGTTTGTTAATGATTAATATATTTGCACTGTGATTTGTTTACGTAGGGGTTCAGTCATACTAGTGATCGGGGTTATTGGTCTGTGGGAAATTAGTGAGAGTCAACCACTTGGAAGGAGATGGAAAAGAGAGGGGGTAAGGAGAGAGAAAAGGGAGGGAGGGGAGAGGGGAAGTCGTTAGTATTCACTGGATGTATACTGGGCTGGATGTTGCCCCGGTGTTCATTGTTAAGGTATCTCTTGGCCTAGTTGGCTGCCACCACGTGGAGAGGTTGTAAGAAGCTTGTATACCAATTTGCCAAGGTCGTGTTGGTTTGCCATGGAAAGTGACGACAACAGTGACTGATTATAAAAGACACAAATACTTGCACACACATGCAGACATGGCAACACACACAAACATGTTGTAAATTGTTAGTGATACAGTATTTATTCTAGTTATTACTCTGTTGATGTGATGTTTTGCCTGCCATGTTTGATAAGTAAACATTTGGAAGGTCACCTTACGTCCACGAAAATATCTTGTTGATTACAGTACAGTATTACGTTGCTTATTGAATGAAATATTTTGGATATGACGCTCGTTGAGTATAAACATGTATACTAACCAGGGTTGCCAGATGGCCGTTTCCACGGCCAAATTTCTCTAATTAGGCCGTGGAAAATGGATGGTCACGGCCAAACTATTTGGCCGAATTTTGTAAAACGTATTAATTCCTCATCTAGTGGATTTTGAAGATCAGTCTTGCAGATTTTTAAATTTCACAATGAAAATGCTAGCTCAGTGACCTCACCTTGTCATGACCTCACCTAATCAGTGACCTCACCTCTTCACATGTTTACGTGACCTACTGAGCTGACTAATCTTTCTAGTTACTACCTTTGTTGTTAGTTCTCATATTTGAGTTCAGGCTGAACGTGTCCAGCATATGGGTTAAGCTTCAGAGCTTACAAAGCCATCTGAGTTACTTTGAAATTCCGAGTGCTAGTTTTCAAAATGCCCACTAGTAAATGGAAACGGTCCTACGACAGTGGTAGAAAATATAACAAACCAGAGGACGATGACGAATTAGACGTTTTTGCTGACGCCAACTAGTGTTATCAAGTTGTCCACCATTATCATGCTCCACCACCATTTCAGATTAAGGTAAATCTTCACTGTACAGTAGATTATAGATATTATGTTTATGTAATTATTGGGCTCTCAATTCTAAGTGAAAATTTGGTTTTATTACGACATTTTAAGTGGATATTGTAGGGGATACTTTTATTCTGTGTGGATTGCAAAAATAGCCTTGTGCTTCCTTTCCAAAAAGTTTTGGCCGATTTGGCCGTGAGGTGGCGTGGATTTGGCCGTGAAGCTTGTCGTACATCTGGCAACCCTGATACTAACAGTATACAGTACTCGTGTTGCAACGAGTGTGGATGGTGGTGCTGTGGCGTCCATGTGATGATGATGTGTGGTGCTGTTGTGGTGTTGGTGTAGTGATTGGTGCCTGTGTGGTGGTGTATTTTGCCGTTGTTGGAATTGTATAACTAAATTCTACATAAGATTTATATACAGTATTGCACAAGTAATTTCATCTCTTGCTCTTGAACAACCATTAACAGACACAATAAACGATTTCCTCTGTACCAACTACCAACAAATACTTGATATACGTTGCCAAACAATTATGTATTTCAACACTACTTTTTATAATTGTCAGGCGGTGGAATCGGTTTTAAATTAACCGCAATTTGGATTTAAACAGTCTCACGTGTATGGTCCAAAATCACCTCTTAGGTTTCAAATTTTGGACCGTACGGTAGTGGTGGATGTTTATGGTGGTGCGGAGTAGTGGTGATGGTGGGTGGTGATGAGATATGGTGAAAGTGTCTGCTACCGCTACAACACCACCTCGGGTTCGGATTCTCAGAGGTTCGAATGCCGGTTTATTTCCTTCTAACTGGTGACATGAGATGAAATCCTATTGTCTCATTTCAGCTTCTGACACAAAGATGGATCATCAAATGTTCATACACATTAATCCCTGTTAAATGGATATGAAAAACACGTCTTTAATGGGTTTACGTAATCTGTGGCATGAAGATGGATTCACAGAGGTTCACAAGCTACATTTATCCTCTTTTAACTGGAAATACATATATATCTGATTCACATAAACTGTAACACAAATACACTGACAGGAATGGTATCGAAATCACATTGAGACTCTACCGTAACTTTATGCCATTTCGTATCTCCTGTAAGAGGAAATATAATGAACTTGGGTGTGGCTGAGAATCCAGATTATGGACTCAACAACGTGAGATGGGCTGTTGCCATGACGTCACTTTACTCAAGTCCTCGCCAGTGTTCTTATATTACCATTTTTAACAGGAGATGAGGCAAGACACGTAAATGAGGTGTGTGTGTATGAGGTAATGTGGACTAAACTGACCTTGCACCTCCTCACCGCACCTTGTCGTTCACCTTTCAGTGCGGTGTCCTCTCGGGCGACCGTGTAACCAGTTTATCCCGGTGGCTGCACAATTTCTGGCTGTGAAAGTAATGTATGTTACTTACCAAGCTAATATATGTTACTTGTTAAACTAATATATAGTATTTATCAGACTTGCGTATTCAAGTAACCTGCAGGCGACTTACCAGATATATACACACCAAAAAACCACATTCTCTTCCTCTTCACATGATGCGTTTGTTGTGACGTGGAAGTTTGTAAATAGATCATTTGATGCAAGGTATTGGACAACAAATATGGCTGACTACATTACCTACAGTAGCAAAAGGTCAACACAAGATTGCCTGAGGTGCTACAATACCAAAGGAAGGGTAATATTGAATACCCGAAGGTTCCATTAGAGTGACCACAACGGAGACAGTTTTGGGTGGGTTGTAACCTTGTGCTTCACGACTGACAATATAACTGCGGTTGTGATGGGAAGCTCCTGGGTCCTCTCGGCGTGCATTATGAAGTTCAGACGTGTAATTCGAAGGTTTAGAAAGAATGTGCTGTGGTGTTGAGTTGGAGTGTGCTGGCTGGTGCTGAGGTAGAGTGGGTGGTGGCTGGTGCTGAGGTAGTGTGGGTGGTGGCTGGTGCTGAGGTAGTGTGGGTGGTGGCTGGTGCTGGGTAGGTGGCTGGTGCTGAGGTAGTGTGGGTGGTGCTGAGGAGGTAGTGTGGGTGGTGGCTGGTGCTGAGGTAGTGTGTGGGTTGTGGCTGATGCTGAGGTAGTGTGTGGGTTGTGGCTGGTGCTGAGGTAGAGTGGGTGGTGGCTGGTGCTGAGGTAGTGTGGGTGTGGCTGGTGCTGAGGTAGTGTGGGTGGTGGCTGGTGTGGGTTGTGGCTGGTGCTGAGGTAGTGTGTGGGTTGTGGCTGGTGCTGAGGTAGTGTGTGGGTTGTGGCTGGTGCTGAGGTAGTGTGTGGGTTGTGGCTAATGCTGAGGTAGTGTGTGGGTTGTGGCTGGTGCTGACGGTAACTAACATACCTGTAACCGAATAAGTGACGTTAATTAAGATAAACGTCAGGTCTTGGCTCTAGGTACTAAGGCTAGCGTATCAGTGTACACAAGGAGGTATTGACTTTTCTTAGGATGAAATACATTAGCAGGTTAAAAAAGGCTTTGAATGGTTGTATTTATTTAATTTAGTTATTTTTCATACCTAATGTATCTATTTCCGTGATTTGTATACATTCATAGGGTAACATCCTGGAAAAAGAAATAAGATCACGTGAAGATTAGGCACCTTAGTTTATTTTACCAGATGATTAAACACTTACGGTGATGTAACCTAGCGTAACATAATATAACCTAACCCCCCCCCAAGGTAACGTTATAGTGTTTGATCAATAGGTGAAATAATCTAGGGTGCCTAATCTTCACTCGACTCTCGGTTCATTTAGACATAATTGTGTTTGTGACCACCACTGTGTAGTTGGCGCTGGATTAACTGTGTTCATTATTTTCCTGTTTCAGACGAGTGTGTTGAGGTAAAGGGGTGAGGCAGCCGTCCACCACCGTCTCGTTTCTGTACTTAACCGAGCTATTCCACTTTACAACTCGATAAATGAGTTAATGATATTTAGAGGTGATATTCATGAAAGAGTGGACACTGGACTTTAGTTAACTACAGTGTTTTGAACTTGTGCCAAGCTTTGTGATTAATGCTCGTGTGCGGCCGTCTGGTACATCCGGGAGCTTAGTACACAGAGGATCATCATCTGTTGTACACACACAGTCATACAAACATACACAGGTGAGTAATGAGATGATTTATGTTGTCAGGTGCATGGTGCAGGTGTAGATATTACTCGGTTGGTGTATTGGAGAGGGTGTAAGTGTAGCAGCACTGTGGTAGAGCGGTGGGTGTATAGTACTGTGTAGACTCAGGGTGTCAGTGTAGGGACAGCAGCGTGGTAGAGCGGCTGGTGTACTATACCGGTGTGTTGTTATGGGAGTGTAGAAGACTCAGGTTGGTAACTATGTACGTATTGACAACACTGCTCACACTAAGTCGAGTCTTTCTGCAACGAGAGTACTGTACTGTATGTCTTGTGTGTGACTTGTGGGTAAGATATCGGTGTTGTAGTGGTGGTGGTGGATCAACTGTGCCGTGTGGTTATAGATCATGGTGGTGGATCAACTGTGCCGTGTGGTTATAGATCATGGTGGTGGATCAACTGTGCCGTGTGGTTATAGATCATGGTGGTGGATCAACTGTGCCGTGTGGTTATAGATCATGGTGGTGGATCAACTGTGCCGTAGTTATAGATCATGGTGGTGGATCAGCTGTGCCGTGTGGTTATAGATCATGGTGGTGGATCAACTGTGCCGTGTGGTTATAGATCATGGTGGTGGATCAACTGTGCCGTGTGGTTATAGATCATGGTGGTGGATCAACTGTGCCGTGTAGTTATAGATCATGGTGGTGGATCAACCAGCCGTGTGGTTATAGATCATGGTGGTGGATCAACTGTGCCGTGTGGTTATAGATCATGGTGGTGGATCAACTGTGCCGTGGTTATAGATCACGGTGGTGGATCAACTGTGCCGTGTGGTTATAGATCGCGGTGGTGGATCAACTGTGTCGTGTGGTTATAGATCATGGTGGTGGATCAACTGTCGGGTATAGATCGCGGTGGTGATCAACTGTGCCGTGTGGTTATAGATCATGGTGGTGGATCAACTGTGCCGTGTGTAGTTATAGATCATGGTGGTGGATCAACTGTGCCGTGTGGTTATAGATCATGGTGGGATCAACTGTGCCGTGGTTATAGATCATGGTGGTGGATCAACTGTGCCGTGTGGTTATATATCATGGTGGTGGATCAACTGTGTCGTGGTTATAGATCATGGTGGTGGATCAACTGTGCCGTGTAGTTATAGATCATGGTGGTGGATCAACTGTGCCGTGTGGTTATAGATCATGGTGGTGTTATCAACTGTGCCGTGTGGTTATAGATCATGGTGGATCAACTGTGCCGTGTGGTTATATATCATGGTGGTGGATCAACTGTGTCGTGTGGTTATAGATCATGGTGGTGGATCAACTGTGCCGTGTAGTTATAGATCATGGTGGTGGATCAACTGTGTCGTGTGGTTATAGATCATGGTGGTGGATCAACTGTGTCGTGTGGTTATAGACTGGTGGTGGTGATCAACTGTGCCGTGTAGTTATAGATCATGGTGGTGGATCAACTGTGCCGTGTGGTTATAGATCATGGTGGTGGATCAACTGTGCCGTGTGGTTATAGATCATGGTGGTGGATCAACTGTGCCGTGTGGTTATAGATCATGGTGGTGGATCAACTGTGCCGTGTGGTTATAGATCATGGTGGTGGATCAACTGTGCCGTGTGGTTATAGATCATGGTGGTGGATCAACTGTGCCGTGTGGTTATAGATCATGGTGGTGGATCAACTGTGCCTGTGTTATAGATCATGGTGGTGATCAGCCGTGTGGTTATAAATCATGGTGGTGGATCAACTTGCCGTGGTTATAGATCATGGTGGTGGATCAACTGTGCCGTGTGGTTATAGATCGCGGTGATGGATCAACGCCGTGGTTATAGACTGCGGTGGTGGATCAGCTGTGCCGTGTGGTTATAGATCCATGGTGGTGGATCAACTGTGCCGTGTGGTTATAAATCATGGTGGTGGATCAGCTGTGCCGTGTGGTTATAGATCATGGTGGTGGATCAACTGTGCCGTGTGGTTATAGATCATGGTGGTGGATCAGCTGTGCCGTGTGGTTATAGATCATGGTGGTGGATCAACTGTGCCGTGTGGTTATAGATCATGGTGATGGATCAACTGTGCCGTGTGGTTATAGATCATGGTGGTGGATCAACTGTGCCGTGTGGTTATAGATCATGGTGGTGGATCAACTGTGCCGTGTGGTTATAGATCATGGTGGTGGATCAACTGTGCCGTGTGGTTATAGATCATGGTGATGGATCAAATGTGCCGTGTGGTTATAGACGGTGGTGGATCAACTGTGCCGTGTGGTTATAGATCATGGTGGTGGATCAACTGTGCTGTGTGGTTATAGATCATGGTGGTGGATCAACTGTGCCGTGGTTATAGATCATGGTGGTGGATCAACTGTGCCGTGTGGTTATAGATCATGGTGGTGGATCAACTGTGCCGGTGGTTATAGATCATGGTGATGGATCAACTGTGCCGTGTGGTTATAGATCATGGTGGCGGATCAGCTGTGCCGTGTGGTTATAGATCATGGTGGTGGATCAACTGTGCCGTGTGGTTATAAATCATGGTGGTGGATCAGCTGTGCCGTGGTTATAGATCATGGTGGTGGATCAACTGTGCCGTGTGGTTATAGATCATGGTGGTGGATCAGCTGTGCCGTGGTTATAGATCATGGTGGTGGATCAACCGTGCCGTGTGGTTATAGATCATGGTGGCGGATCAACTGTGCCGTGTGGTTATAAATCATGGTGGTGGATCAACTGTGCCGTGTGGTTATAGATCATGGTGGTGGATCAACTGTGCCGTGTGGTTATAGATCATGGTTGGATCAACTGTGCCGTGGTTATAGATCATGGTGGTGGATCAACTGCCGTGTGGTTATAGATCATGGTGGTGGATCAACTGTGCCGTGGTTATAGATCATGGTGGTGGATCAACTGTGCCGTGTGGTTATAGATCATGGTGGTGGATCAACTGTGTCGTGTAGTTATAGATCATGGTGTGGATCAGCTGTGCCGTGTAGTTATAGATCATGGTGGTGGATCAACTGTGCCGTGTGGTTATAGATCATGGTGGTGGATCAACCGCGTGTGGTTATAGAATGATCAACTGTGCCGTGTAGTTATAGATCATGGTGGTGGATCAACTGTGCCGTGTAGTTATAGATCGCGGTGGTAGTGTGTGGTGGGAGATCGACTGCGCCGTGTGTTGGTTAGTGGTGCTGGCCCAGCAGGTGTTGGTGCTGTTGCGTCACGTCCACACCTGTTGCTATTAAGTGATACAGGTGTTGGTGTTTGTACAGAACGCTGCGTCACCTGTACACTGCCGAGGGGAGATCCAGGTGAATGTAAAGTTCAAGTCAGTTTTTCTTTAATGTTTATTGTCACTAAAACACAACATTACGGCGTCAAACACACACACACACACACACTGTCGCCGTGGGTGGTGGAAACTGGAAAATACCGCCACCACGTCACCCACACATTGCTGGGAGGAAGCTGCCCAACCCACCGCTGTGAAGGATTGATATTGTCATCAGGAATTGAATGGTGTTTGGTGATAACAGAGGTGGAATGTGTACGTTTGGTGTGTAGTTGATGTGACTCCCGTTTATTAGTGAACACCATATCTTACAGTGTGACGCATTAGGGAAATTTAGTTGCCGTAGAAGTCCCAGTAAGTGTTGTTATTGTTGTTATTTTTATTTTATTATTTTATTATTATTGTTATTATTATTATTATTGTTGTTATTATTATTATTATTATTTTTATTATTATTATTATTATTAATTGTTATTATTATTATTATTATATTGTTGTTATTATTATTATTATTATTATTTTTATTATTTTTATTATTATTATTATTGTTGTTATTGTTATTATTATTATTATTATTATTGTTATTATTATTATTATTATTATTATTATTATATTATTATTATTATCATTATTATTATTATTTTCATTATTATTATTATTATTATTATTATTATTATTTATTATTATTATTGTTATTATTATTTCAAATACACTTAAACGTTTCTATCAACAATATAATTAGTTGAGGATATTTTTCGGGAAATATTTAAATGGACTTTTAATTATAGGCTGTGTTGGCTCTTAACCTCCACCCACCGTAATATTAATGTACTAGCATTACCGGATTCAGCATCCAGTATACATGATGCAACACACACACACACACAGTAACACACACACACACACACACACACACATCACTGAACAATCAAACAAACAAACAAACAAATAGATATAGAGTAAACCCTCCCAATGCCGGACTAATTTTTGCAAGCCCTGTCCGATATTGGGTGGATTCTGTTATTGAGAATATCCAGTAATGAGAAGTCCGTTATTGAGAGGGTTTACGGTGTATGTTCTCGGCAGTATGCAGAGAGATAAGGTGGGGAGCTTGTGGTCGACGATGTTGGTGTGTTATCAGGGTTGTGTATTAGTGAGATAAGTCTTCCTGCCTCCACCACAACACACACACACACACCGGGCTGCCCACTCAGGTATAATTCCTTTTCGTTGCGTCAGCAGCTCCGTGAATACTAAGCCTGACTCACGTAAGTACTTTTTGAATAGCCACCAACACTTTCGTATCCACACACCTTGAGGATACTAGATGAAAGCATTACTATAATACATGAGAAACTTAGTGTAATATGGAAGAAATAACCAGGTAACCGCAGGTGTGTGGAGGGAGTAGGAGGGCTGTCAACACACTGGTGGGTTTATGGTTGAAGTTATGAAGGGAATGTTCGGTACCAGTAGCTGAAGGTCTAAATATTTCATGAGCCTTAATCTACCCTCATATTCTCGTAGTATTTATTTCTATGTTTTGCTTAGGTTATAAGAATGTGCCTCGTTTTGTTGTTCAGTCATTAAAATATATATCTGTACTTACCCTATGGGGCCGATGAATTTCAGAATGAACACTGCGACGCTTGTTGTCTCGGTAGGGTTACCAAAATCCTTCGTCCGTTGTCATATTTTTTCAACACATTTCTGATATAGATAGTGT